AATGTACAGCTGAGTATCATCAGCGTACTGATGGAAATCCACCCCAAAGCCACGGATGATCTCACCCAGCGGCTTCACATAAATATTGAACAATAGGGGGGAGAGGACCGACCCTTGTGGCACCCCACAAGTTAGGGGCCTTGGGGTCGACCTCCGTCCCCCTGCCAATACAGACTGCGTGCGGTCGGTGAGGAAGGAGAACCACCGCATAACGGTGCCTCCCACTCCCAACTCCACCAGGCACCGCAGCATGATACCGTGGTCCACAGTATCAAAAGCCGCTGAGAGGTCCAAAAGAACTAGGACAGAGGAACTAGGACAGGTCAGCTATGTATCTTGATGAATAATACAGCTTTATGAAAACATTATTAGTGTTGACAGAACAACAAATATGCAGCTGTTTCCACAATGTTTACTTACAGCATTTGTTTCTGTTCCAATTCCATCTCTTCCTTGAGGAATGTGACCTCTTCTGACACAATTCCCATTCCTGGTATAGATTCATCAAAATCCCCATCATCAAAAATAATTCTATCTTGCTCATCTTCTGTAAACAACATTAGACACTTGCAGAGACTTACATTTGATTTGTAGAATGTAATACTATTTACTTATCAAATGTTTTAGTAGAGAGAAGAATAAGAAAGAATAAATAAAATAAATAATAAATTATCAGAATAAAAATATAGACTCTTTGGCATTTTGCAGTGTGAATTCATGAATATACAATTGCATGATGCAGTGAGTAAATATGATATCCAGTATTAAATTACAATGAAACCAAATAAAAATCCTGTCTTGGAAATAAAGTATAAAACTACCATGTCCAGCAGGTAGCCTTTGAACAGTCATGTCTTTGACTGACATCTAAAAGGATAAGTTAGAACTTGAAAAACATTTTTTAGGCTAGCAATCCACAGAGTCACTCTCTTCCTCATGACTGCCCTCTATATTTCTTTTGCCCTCAGGATCTGGACTAGGGATAAGTAGATAATAAATATTTAGGCTGCACATAAGGAAGTTCTCCAGCATGTGAGAAGTGTTGTGAATATACTGGCTTCTTAACGTATATTATTTCTGCCATGTATTATTAACACACAAAAGAAAAAGTGTCTATGCTTTCTAAACTATGTACTTAGTTTATATGTATTTAGAAACAAACATAAAGGGGCAATTAACACAGAGAATTAAACTTTCATTTAATTCACCTAATAAGTGAGTATGTGGGCAGTGCTAGGAAAGCCTTGATTGATTTCAAGGTTTATAAAGCTATCCAGCTCAAACATTAAGATTCTGGGCAAACACAATACAGGAAAAATAATCAAAAGAAAACCATCTACAACGAACAGGCAAAATATACATATAAAATGTAAAATGGTGACCACACAACAAACCAATCACATGGAGGAAACCTATTAAACTGATCCCTAATGCCTGGAGGAAGAGCCACGATTTAAGGGTTTCCTAAAGGCGAGAAGAATTGGGGCTAGTCATATACTGTATGGGGTGAAGGGGGATTTCTACAGGCAGAAGTGATAACCACAGAAAAGACGTGTTTCCTCAGTCCCGTAAGATTGCAAGATTTAAAAAAATGCCTTCCTGTGGGAACATGTGGGGCAAGTTCTTTGATCTTGGAGAAGGATTCCTTCAAGTAATATAGGCCCTATGTAAAATAGGGTTTTAAAGTATTTAAACTTTAAATAAATAAAGTTCAAATAAACTTTGAACTGCATCTGGAAACCTATCAGGAGCAGCTCACAGAGTATCAGTATTACATGGGCAAAATAAGAAACATTCTTAATTACCCACGCTGCTGCGCTCTGGACCAATTGAAACTTCTGGATGGTTTTGAAGGGCAGCCCCACATAGAATGCATTATAATAGTCCAATTGGGAGGTAACCAATGTGTGAGTGACCATATAAGGACAAAGACAGTAAGATAGGATCCTTTGTACTTGAGAAGATCACTTGAGCTAACAGTATTTAAGAAGTCAAGGAATATTATATACATGTATCTCATCAAAATTTTCTATCACTGAATAAATTCATATTCACAAATATTAGGTATAAAGTTTAAGGCTGAAGGTACAGTGAGCTTTATTATTGATCAGGTCATTAATGATATGGAAGAAAAATGCCTTTGATCCAAATATGTCTTCCTTCTCTGTTGTGATCCCCAACCTCAGACCCTGAGATTCAGAGGGTCCCAACTTTGTTAGTTTTCCCAACAGCCTTAAAGACCTGTCTGCTTCCAAAAGCATTGGGCCAGGACATGGCGTGAGCTGGTTTGTATGATTTTCATGTTTTGAGGAGTTTTCTGACTCAAGTCTATAAATGTACTGCATTGATTAGCATTATTTGATTTACCTGTGTTACTGTTAATATGTTAAATTATTGTTAGCTGCTCAAAGTTACATGTGGGATAGTACAATATAATTCTTTGAAACAAACAAACAGGTCTTTAAAGGTTTAAAACAGCCACGTGTTGAAACTGGGAAATATTCCTGGATAGCAAAGGAATATAATTACCAAGTGGATTTAACAAAGCTAGCATATTTGAAAATGGTAGGATTACCAAAAATATTACAAATACCTTTAATAGATTCTTCTTTTATTTTTACAAGTTCTTCATTTTCCATTGGTTGTACTCCATTTTCATTATTAATACTCTCTTCTGTGATTGCCTCTGATCTAGCTAAATAGACTGAATGATTGGACTGTAATGAAGGGATTTCTTTTTTTCCAAGAGGGATAGATTTTCTCACTACAGCAGTTACCTATAATTTCAATTAAACACAAATAATTTCAATTAAAAATGGACAGCAATGTAATTGATTTTATTCAGTTTAGGCCTTGCCCAATTCCAAACAACTCAGAGTGGCTCACAATGTAACAAAAATAAAATGTAGTATGAATGTTACAAATAGTGCATACATGCCTAATCTTTTTTGGTTTAGATTTTTTTTGTTCTTTACACCAGTTCCCATTTTAAACAGAAAACATATGCGAAATAGAGCATTCCATTTGAGGACTGAACATTTGAAAGTTATGACAACATTAAGCATTTTCAGAAAAAGACCTCAGTCACCTGCTCTAATTTCACAAGCACTAGGAATGAGCAAGGCTTTTCAAATGATATGATTTTCTTTACATTTTCACATGTAAGTTGAAATTGTGTAGGAGAAATATGGTGCTGCTTACAATCAATGAAATAAAAACCTAATTATCTTGTAAGAGATATAAAGAAACATAATTTTTTTCCACTCAGGTATAAAAGATTCCAAGGCCCAAGGAATGTTAATAAACTGAAGAGAACATACTAAGAGACAATCTCAGATTCTAGAAACCAAGGATGATTTAAAATAGCTCTTAACAGTAACCTTCTACAAAGCAACAGTGTTCACAAAATGTCCTCTTTGTTCGAGTGAACCATACATCTATAGTTCATCCCCATTACTTCACAGAATCCACCTCACAAATAGATAAAATCCTGCTATATCCAAGTGATTATCTTCTTGTATTGAATCGCATGTACAGTATATTCTAATTTATTTAACTGTATATAGAGATGCTGCATTCCTACCCCTCTGAATTCTGCATTCTGGCGAACTCTGGTATTGCAATACTATAAACAATCTGTGCTTCGACAGAAATATGCATTGGTTTCTGGTTTAACACAAATTTCAGGGCAATTAATAAAGGTCCCCTACAATAGCAAGCCTATTTAATTCAGAGGGCAAAACAAAATAGTATTGGCACCCATAGGTACATTTTTTTCCAATTTGATGACTAAATAAACTACACCAGTATTATTTTTCACTTGTTAGAACAACAAACAAAATCAAAGTATCAACAACATCAAAAAGCTAGAAAGCAACACTTCCCATTTAAGAGCATTTACCTTGGAATCTTCGGATTGCACAGAAAAAGGATTTAACGGCGTTCCAAGAATTCTCCTTTTTTTAAGCACTGGAACTGGTGGTACTACATGAACAGGCTATAGAGAACACAGATGTTGATATTGCTTTAATACAGCTTCCAAAATAAAGAAAGTCTTATCTCTTCTACACTGATACATACTCCCAGAAATGTCATCTTCCCTCCTTCCCCTCATCCCCCTACCTTTGCACAAAGCTTCAGAGACAGAAATGGTTGCAAAGTAATGACTAAATGCAATCTTCTACTAGAACCACCTTTTATTAACTTAAGCTCCCTTTTTACAGTCTGCAGCAGGCAAATCCACTTTCTACTAGGCATTTTTTTACATTTGGATAAAAATAAATCATATATGAGGACACCTGACTTATAATTAATAAACTTTTAGCAACTCAATTGTCAAATTTATATGAATTTTCTTCAAAGTATCTCAAGAAACAGTTGTGCAGTTGCAAAACAATATTCCCTGTTTATAACCTCCACCCCACAAATACATACAACATACATTTCCTACCTTAGCATTCAGATCTTGCAAAATGTCTCCTAGCAAATCATCTTTAGAGAGATCAACTGCTTTCTGCAAAAGAAAATATAGGTTTTCCATAAACTTTTGAAGATTTTCCAAATCCATTCAAGGTAAGCAATGATATATTTGACCTTAGTTTCAGGAAACAAAAAATAATTGATAGGGAGTTGATTGTAAAATGGGTGACTTTATAAATGTTTTAAATAAATAAAACAGCAAAAACTTGAGAAAATAATATACAATTCTAAAATATATATTTTATGGAAATTCAAACTTACATCAGCATTTTTCTTGCCAGTATTAGCCATGAACATGGATTTAATAGTGTTTGGTTTTGATACCAGAGTCTTCAATTTGTTTTTGTCATATGTGGAAGCTGTGTCTTTTCTTCCTGATAATAATAAAAAAATTAAAACATCAAAATCTATTCATCAGGCACCATTAAAAAAAATCTAAAGCCAATCTTGAGTGCAATATTAAATCATAGTGTAGTGTTGCAAATAAGGACTGAGGCTTCTCTTACCTTCCATTCTATTGGTTACTGTTAAGCACTTATACAGCACTTACGTTTTTGTCACCACTGTACAAATACTGAACAACAAAATCTGTGCCCTGTAACTTTTTTGCTATCTAACTGACATTGAACAGAAGGTAAAGGGAATGGAAATGGAAAAGGAATAATCTGCCATTATGTTATTTCTGACAGGCAGAACAGCAAGGCATTGTTCTAAGGAATCATTGTTCCAAGGCCAAATCATGAGAAAGAATTTTTAGCACCTCACAAACTAACCCTCCCTCACCAAAATGCTTAATAGAATAATGTGAAAGGGACTGCGGATGAGGACAAAAATGCATACAAGAGAAAAACAAAAAACAACAACAACCAGTGCCCATTGTATTAACGGGCACAAAGAGAAAAAGGAGTTGCAAAATATGTAATTGAATAGAACTAGAGGAAAACGCAGAACAGTTTTGAAGGAAATAAATAAGATGTTTTGGAAGTGGGTAAAAAAAGCTAAACAATTATTCTGCCAGAGTAGATAGAAATAAAAGGTAATGAAATTATATTGGATGAAACCAAAACACAGGAATCTAGGAAGAAACATTCTAGATATTTGAATGGGAATAACAGCATTAATCTTACTGTACAACAGAATACTGATGTAATGAAAGCTATAAAAATGCTGCAGAATAGTATGGCTACATATTTAGATGACGTTAAATAAAATATGGATGTAGTTTGCTTATGGAGTGGCTAATTGTTGTAAATCTGTGTGTTGCATACATAAGAGCATTATATGGTAGAACTAAAGAAGAGTGAAAATAGTTAAATGCCTAATGTATAGTTCAACAGTGAATATGGAGTAAGGCAAAGCTATGTAATGTATCTTGAGTCGTTTAATGACCTTAATTTCAGAAAACAAAAAATAATTGATTGGGATCCACCTAGAGTTGGTTGTAAGATGGCGGCTTTATAAACATTTTAATAAATAAATAAAGCAGCAAAATTTGAGAGAATATACAATTCTAAAATATATATTTTATGCAAATTAAAACTTACATCAGCATTTTTTTGCCAGTATGACAAATGTGTAGTGCTACTGGTAACATTAGAACAATATTAATTAGAGATGTAAGCGTACCTTTTGTACAAGATTAAAGCTATGTTCTTTATTCAATATGCAAATAATTTTCAGATATATTAGATTCTATGATGCAACAAATATGGATCTGAAAATTTATTCATGTGACTATTACATTGCCTCAGTCTTGATCAATCAATGTAGCAAAAATCAAGGGCTGAGGAATGATCAATGTAGCAAAAATCAAGGGCTGAGGAATTGCAAGTTATGTATAAACAAATTTATATAAGTGGATATATTATATATTATATCAAATAAAATGTAAAAACAAACTGAATGAAGTGGAAATTGATAACTCAAGAAATGTGCATGGTAAAAGAAGGGATTAATTTGTGCTTTAATTTATTTGGCTTTCTGTTTCTTATGCCTTCTGCACCTCAAAAGGTAATAGTATAATTTATATATATTAATGTACTAAATTACCAACCAGTACAGTTGTCTCACCAACAATGTGAATAGCAACTTTGCAACTTCATTTTTGCAGTAAGTAGATTTCCATAAAAGCAGTTCCACAGAACATCTATTGCTGTAACTGAGATTACCAAATGCATGTTTCATGATTATGGTATTGTCTAGAAACAAGTACCGTTTATATGGTAAAGGGTATTTCTTATCACCAGTCATCCAATGACAAGATGGTTTTATCAGTACATTAAAAGAGTGACCTGGGTTTGGGGTTTTTGTTGGCTTGTTTGTTGTTTGGTGACTTCAAGTCAGTTTTTAATTCCTAGCAACTGTTTGGACAAGTCCTACAGTTTTCTTAATACAATTTTTCAAAAATGATTTGCCACTGGCTGCTTCCCAGAGCTTTGTGTGTGTGACTGACCCAAAGTCACTCAGATGATTTCATACTAATGCAGGACTAGAACTCATGGTCTCCTGTTTCTAGCTTAATGCCTTAACTAAACTGGCTCTTTCCCATTTATTTACAGGCAATATAATCACATCATATAAACATGCCCTGTTCCCTAGGAATGGGCACTACCCACTGATAAGGTTCCATCTTCCCATTGTTCAGAGCCATCATACTGCTCTCTGAAGCCAAACACGTTAACCTAGCCTAGGAGATGCACAGCCTCTCCCAATTCAAATGTAATATTGATATGAAATAAGTCATGTTTTGAATTCCTTATCTCAGCAATTTCATGCAGATAATAGTATTGAAGACAAAACAATACTTCATAACGACAAGATTCAGGGTTTCCTGTTGTTATCAGTCTTGCAAGTAGAATTAAAACAATGTGTTCCAGTTCCAGCTTAGAGGGGCAATCAGTCAAATATCAAAAAATACAGAGAAAATAAGCAAGAATATAGAAATACATAAGCCAGCATGCTACCAAAGTACTTCTGAACCTAGACAGAAATAGTTCTAGAAAATTGGTTTTCTTCAAGAGCATCCAAAGATGGACTATTACTTTCTTAGGCATTTTTCCCAACAAAATGGCTAAGTTACTTAAGGGAGTTACCCAATACTTAATATATTCCTAACAGCATATATTGGAGAAAGTTGCTGAAAAAAATGTACTCACGTTTCTTGTCAGCATTAAGAGCATTATCTTCCAGATCTTCATCAAAAATCTCCCTGCCATCTTCTACATAACCAACCCCATCTATGAAAAAATGTCACCCTTTACAACCAAGTTGCTATAGTTTGCATTAAAAGTTGTACTTAGTAAGGCAAATTAATCCAGATTCACTTGATTTTTCCATCATTTTGCAGTGGTAGAATAACAACCCTGTAGTTTTTCAAATGATGTTGAACTACAATTTTCCATAATTATTGGGCAGACTGGCTGTGATAGTGGTTAGATGGTTGGAACAATTCCAGGGAGATCCATGTTCCAATTCCTTAGGTTATCTTTCACTAATCACTATCCTCAGCCTATCTAAAAGGCTTGTTCTAAAGGTAAAATTAAAAAGGAAATACTATTAGAAAATGCTAAATTCCTATAAAAATACAAAGATACAAATGCATCTTTATAATCTATTGGCTCACTCTCACAAATAAAAACCAACTTGTCATTTCTAATTCTTGACATTTCTCATATTCTTGACCTTGCACAGTACATAATACTAGAAAAAAATGATTTCCTTTCTGTTAACCATCTTAAAATGTAGATACATCTTCACAAATGACTTGGTAGATGATAACTTAGCAAACCAACCATATAACCATTTTTAGCTACAGCAGCACAACCAGCTATAAAAATCAAGCCAAATACTCAGGAGAAACTGATTATCTTACTCCTGCCATCTAAGCAATTTCTTTATTCAAATCAGTTTTATATACAGGTAGTCCTCGATTATCACAATTCGGACAATTGCTTAATGTGGTCTTTAAGCAAATCAGATGGTCATTACATGAAAACAGCTTCTCCCAATGACTTTGTTTGTTGGAAGCTCCCTGAGAAGATCGCAAATAGTGATCATGTGATCCTGGATGCTGCAACCATCATAAATACAGGCTAATTGCTAGCGCTTGAATTTTGATCACATGACTGTGGAGATGCTGCAACAGTTATAAGTGTGAGGACTGATGTAAGTCACTTTTTTCCAGCACAGTTGTAACTTCAAATGGTTGTTAAATGAACTACTTATAATTTCAGTTTTCCTCTATTATTATTTTAAGACATATTCATTTATTCTAGACTTCTACAAAAAAATATATAACGACAAGGGGCTAAACCAATTGTTCTCTCACTATGCCTGTTTTAAGAGAATTCTACCTTTGTTCCTAATATTACAGTTGAAGTATAAGAACAATAACCAGAATAATAGAATCAGGCAATGTTGTTATACAAATCAAGTTGAATCAATTGCCAGAACAACAATTCAATTAGAGATTGAGGCAAATTTTATAAAACATGATTATTTTTAAAAATAACAAAGTTTGTTTAAACCACATTGACAGAAAATGAATGGAAAAACAGTTTTAGTATCAGCCTGTAGATAAAAAATCAATTTTACAAACCATCATCCACAATCCAGTCATCATCCTGGCGTTCTCTGACAATCTTAGAATATTGTTCTTCATCAATTTCATCATAAACACCTGCAAATTCCTCAACCTACAAAAAGAAAATAATTACTATAACTTTTTTTTTAAAAAAACCAACAAATAGAAAATAAGATTCTGATATTCTGACAATATTGGGATACTTATTTAAATAGATATGCCTAACCCGGCTGTAGCAACTTCCTAACCTTAGTTGATCTCAGAAGCTAAGTAGAGTCAACATGGTTAGTATTTGGATATAGAACCATTTTCAGATTACATGTTTATTGTCCAAACTAATAAATTGAAAAAGTAGCCAAAAAAGCAACAGCCAATTGTTTCAGTAACACTGCCATGAAAAACATGTAGATGCAATCACCAGGAGTCAACCTGATGCTTACAGGGCATCTTCATATTTCCATACATTTAAATATATACATACAAATAAGAGACCTACACTTAGTAGTAGCTTCTTTCTCCTACATAGCATTCTTCACTTATGAGTCTCAACATTCAAGATAGCATGATCACAGCTATAGGGGGGATGGGTGCTATGATCCATCTTGAAGAGTACCAGTTCCTAAAACTGGGTTAATAAATATAAATTCTGATAAAAAAATGTGTATGGGCACATGCACACAGATTCACTCACAAAACAATATAGAAGTGACACGCCTACATTGGTTAAAAAAAACCTGAAATTAGAACAACTTTTTAGTTACCTCATATTTTATTTTCTCACCAGCCTTTGCCTTCTTCAGGCGTTCCAGAGCTTCTTGCCTTCCTTTTTTAAATTTTTTCTCACGACGTAAACGTGAAGATGCAAGATTTGCAGTATTTGTGATTTCTGAAAAACAGAATAATTGATAACATTAAGAACAGATGTGGGAATATAACTACCTAACAGACACACACACAAGGTGAAAACTTTATTGATAATAAATATCAGTGTCAATGAAAGACAAAAGATCTGATTAGAATTCTACCCATTGAAACTACAAAGGAAATAAACAAAATGCTGTGCGTTAACATGTGCAACTTTGTTTGAATTATATACTAACTTTCTTACCTTATAGAAAAATCAAATAAAAATGTATCAGAAAGACTGCTACTGCACACAATAAAACTAAATAATACCAAATCTTAAATTTAAAAAGGAAATGCTCTGTAAAAGGAAGTATTTCAGTGTTTCAATGTATTAATAAATCTTTAGTGTCAACTTTTATTGAATATATTTTGTAATTAAATGTATCAAGACACTACTTTTTGCCTTTTTCAGAATTCTTTTTCTACAAGCCTACAAAAGATTCAAGATCTAAAATAGGATATACTGGTTTATGCCTCCGTACAGACACTACCAGACAGTATCATACTAGTTCATTTACCTTCCCTTTCAGAGGAACAGCGCAGAGAACAATCCTTGGAGCAAATATGAATAATAATAAAAATAATAATAAAAGAGTTAGCTTTGTGCATGGAACCCACAAATAAAATACCCCAAAATTTCAGACAATGGTGAATGATACTAATAGCACCTGAGACCCCGACACTACATAATAAGAATGTAAAAATAAATATAATTAACATGAAAACGGAGCTAATGAGAGGAAGATTAAGAGCAAGTCAGTCCAAATCCTTTATTTAGACACATACGCACACAGACACACCCCTCAATGGATTGTAAACATGGAATGTGGGATATATTACAGTCTACTAATATGGATGACAGAAGATAGCTCAATAGTTGTGGGTGTAAGTATCTTTATTTCCAAGGGCATGGGTCTTCACCCACCCTCAAGCTTTTTCAAGGAGCTTTAGCCATCTTAAAGAAATCCTTGAGCAGCCAGGGAACATTTGCAGAGTGAGATAGGCCATAGGTATATTTAGGTGGACAAATGATGAATGTTTGTCATAATGTCACTGTTCCATTCCATGATATACAAACTTGTGACCAACAAAAATGAAAGACAAAGTTTGCATTGTGATATCACTATGCATATCATATTTTTATCATTATGGCTAGCTGAAGATTTTTATAGGACAGGGTTGGAGTTTGGCTATTATTTTCAACTTTTATGTAGAAAGAGGAAAGAGAAACTCTTCCCTGTCCTGCTCGCTATTTTCTTAGTGATACAGATAAGGAGTAGATAGAATGCTTATAAAATATGTTAAAGAGACAAAGCCATTTTGGCACTGCAATACTCTATAGCTATATATTCAATCTTGTAATTTCTTAACACAGTCTTGCAACTTATGACAAGTATGTCCTGCTCAGGTCACACTTGGAGTACAGCATTTAGTCCTACACATGGTTTATCACTGTCCAACTAAAGCAGGGCTTTTCAACTGGTGGTACACGTACCACCTGCGGTACTTTGGCACCTGGCAGGTGATACATGACCATCCTAGACAAGTGTAGCAGGGGAGGGGAATGAGCTGAAGCGGCGGCAGCACCGTACAAGCCTGAGGGAGAGACAGCTGGAGCTGCAGGGCTGTCGGGGCTCATCAGAAGCCCCAGGATCGGCGCGCGCAGCTACAGCTGATTGGCGCTTCTGCAGGGCTATGGGAGCTGGGCAGAAGCCCAGGATTGGGGCGCGCAGCCACAGCTGATTGGCACTTCTGCAGGGCTATGGGGGCTGGGCAGAACTCCAGGATTGGCGTGTGCAGCCACAGCTGATCGGCGCTTATGCAGGGCTATGGGGCTGGGGAGAAGCCCAGGATTGGCACATCCTTCTGCAGGGCTATGGGGGCTGGGCAGCAGCCCAGGATTGGTGCGGGCAGCTACAGCTGATCAGTGCTTCTGCATGACTATGGGGGCTGGGCAGAAGCCCCAGGATCAGCGCACGCTTCTGCAGGGCTATGAGGGTGAGACAGAAGCCCCAGGATCAGTGGTTCCAGCGAAGCCGGAAGAGAAAAGGAGGAGGGGGGAGAGAGAGGAGAGGCTATAAAAGGAGGTTTTGGCGGGAGAGGGAGAGAAAAAAAAGACAACAGGGAAAGAGAAGGGGACTGCAAAAGAGAGACGGAGAAGCACAGCCTTGAGAGGAATCAGCTGGAGGTGCCCGGAAGAGAAAAGGAGGGGGGGGGGAGAAGAGAGGATATAACAGAAGGGAAGAGAAGAGAGGATATAAAAGGGGGGAGAGAAGAGAGGATATAAGAAGGGAAGAGAAGAAAGGATATAAAAGGGAAGAGAAGAGGATATTTAAAGGGAAGAGAAGAGAGGATATAAAAGGGAAGAGAAGAGGATATAAAAGAAAGGAAGAGAAGAGGGACTTCTGGTTCCGCCTCACAGCAATGCGGCCAAGGGACTGTGGGGCTCCGCACCCCACAGCTGGTTTTGCCCTGCCAGGGGATCCTAAATGGCTCTGATGTCACCCCAGAGATGCAATGAAGAAAGAGGGGCACCCTGATGATCATGGAACAATGGCAGTCGATCAGTTTGATCCTGGGGAAGCCCTCTAACCCGACAGGAGAAATGCTAGCTGCACACCAGCGTCTAGCCCAAGCTGCCATCAGCCGAAGTCCAAGAGCACAAATCAGAACAACGGTGAACAGCGTACTTGGAACTGGGTGAGAGTATAGATCTTCTCTCTTCTATTTTGTAACTGATTCCTTGGAAAAGATCCCCAAAGCAAGAAATCCTGTAAAGGTGAAGGGAGGGGATCACATCCCCACCCCTTCATAGACAGAAGCGGCGAATTAACTTCCAAGGGTGAAAGAAATATACTGAAATTAAATTAATATTACTATAGTCTGGATAAATCTGAAAATTAAGAAAACCGTTAAAATTTTATATCCTAAAGAGTCCTGATGAAATTAAAAAAAGAAAAATAATTCTTTGTTTAAAAAAGTTGGAAAATAAATAACTACTGACATCTAGTGGAGAACTAGAGCATAGAACAATAGTACAACGCTGACTCAGAAATTGGCAAGATGCCCAGAAATAAAGAATAATCTGTTCCCTTGAACTTTAATAACCCTCAGCTAAATAGATAATTGCTGAGAACAAAGAAAGAAAACATATTAGGCCACCCATAAGCTTAAGAAGTGTCTGCAAAAAAAACCCCTTTAACGGTTGTCTAATCTCAAGAATTGTTTGTAGAGAAAGAAAAACTTTGACTCTTGGCTAATCTTCTAGGGGGGAATTTACTGGAAGGCGTTAAGGTGGCAAAACATTTTGCTGCAATTCTTACTGGTTGATAATTCAAAGACCCTTGAACAGAAGAATTGTTATAAAACACTGCTTTCATTGATGCCTTGATAATTGGAAACGCATTGGATTACAAAAACCATATATAAAGATAAGAACTATATGAGATTTGGCTGTTTGGATTTTAAGATTGGCTGGTTTGATAAGGCTAAACACAGAGACTATGGTACTGGTGAAAGACTACCTGGAGGGAGGAGACATACCTATCTAAAAGTGACAGGAAACCACACCTAATATTCCCTTCTGAAGGACCTAGCTTGGAACATCAGAGATCTGCAGAAGCAATACTCCAAGATGAGATAAATACTTTCCAAGAGGAAATGTATGCAATGCTACAACAGATTCAAATGACAATGGTTTCAAACCATAAGATTAAAAACCTCTTTGACGACATAAATGAACACATCTTCAATTTAAAATCACAAATAAAAAACCATCAGAAAACGACAATAAAGAATGAACAAACAAACCAGATAACAGAATACAAACTAGAAGTGACTTAAACAGGGAAGCTACAAATGAAGAGAATTAAACTTAATACAAATTTAAAAAAATCTACAAAATGTTGCCACAACAATGAAAATGGAAAAGATATCTTATCTGTCAGGACTTCAAAACAAACTTGAGGATAAGAAAAAAGATTTAATAAAATGGATTATAGAGCTGCCAGGAGAATCATTAGAATCTGGGAGACAAAAAACATACATCATATACAACCTATCTTTCTCGCTCCCAACAATATTTACCAAAATACAGGAATTCCCTGACAAGCGGAATATGCTAACTTGGAAAGCTACTTGGCAAAAGAAAAAGGCTAGTTAGATTCAAGAGACCTGATTTGAATTACCAGATGGAGTATTACATGATTAAACACTTGTTTGAATATAGTTAAAAGAATAGATAATTTTGGGTATAAAGGAGTTATAGTAAGAGGGATAAGAGACATTAGTATAGTATTTTTTATAATATATGAAATGTAAAAATATTGGGATGATGTATGTGAAGGAAAAGTTAGAACATTTAAAGGTAATTAACTTTGAGAGAAGTATGACCAAGAAGAATTATTTGAATACTAAGGGAAAACTAAGCTTAAATAAGAATTTTGAAAACAGGACATATAGTGATTTAACAAGATGACTTTTACAAATATAATTGAAACATAAGCCGATCAGAAAAGATGTTATATGTGGATGTTATAGGA